ATCGTTCGTTAAAACAATGAGACTGGGGAGTGTTTTATTGTAACAGCCGGCTGTGACTCATACAGCTTGCATTTTCAGTTTCTCCTGAAATGGTCATAACGAAATGGTCACGCTGCCCCGAGGGTGGGGGCCTAATGGGGATCTACAGGGGAAGTCACTGAACCAGCTCAACTTCCTCTCCTCACAGACGAAAACGGGGTCCCCGGGCATTCAAATGAGAAGCTTTGCAAAGAGCTTCAAGACTGGAAAACACCACTAAACACTGGGCCTTGTTCGTTCCTGACCTGCCTGGGTTTCCTTGGCCAGAGCCCACAGATGACATCCATGTCGTCCAAACTCTAATTTCACTTGTTCAAAAATGTTTTTGTTATTTCAGAGAGACAGAGAGAGAGAGAGAGAGAGAAACATTGATTTGTTGCATTCGTTGGTTGATTCTTGGCCACAGGAGCAGTGCCAGGGAACTGTTATATAGAGAGTGGAAAGGAGGAGGAGAGACACAGAAAAGAAAAGATCAATGTGAGAGAGACACATTGATTGGTTGCCTCCCGCACGCACCCCAACCGAGGCGGGGATCAAGCCTGCAACTGACCAGAATCTAAACCAGGACCCTTCAGTCCAAGAGCGGATGCTCTATCCGCTGAGCAAAACCGGATAGGGCCAGAGGGTGGTCCTTGATCATATTACGGTCAGCACGAATACACCGGGGCGCTCTGTGGACAGTGAGCAGGACAGTGTCTGGAGAGAGCATTTGGGGACTGATGTGGAGTAATGTTTTGGGGTGCATGCACCCCCCCAGTGGGTGGCTACCAGCAAGCAAGCACCCACGAGGTCAGAGCACCCAAGAACCACAGTGGCACAGCCCGGTTTGTGCCTGGGTGTTTCTGGCAGAGGATAAAGGGTGTGCTATCTTGTTTGGTTTCCCTGCAGCTCACACTGGAGAGTGGGCAGACGGGTGGCTGTCCAGCCTGGATATTATACTCCACAGGTAGAGACAAGCTCCAGTCAGACCCTCGTCAGCACTCACAGCTCCCCCTGTAGCAGCTCATCTTTCAATGCATCAGGCAGAAGCCATCTGACCCTGGTAGGTATGGATAGTCCCACACGACATAAAGCTTACAACTTAGAAAAACGAGGTCTCTAGCTTTCCCCAAATGCCCGTGATCATGTTCACGCTAAGCTGAGGGAGACGCAAGGCCGTGGCCCAACAGTCTTAGTAAGGGTCCTAACTTAGGAAGAGTTCAGGGCAGAGATCAGTACGTAGGTAAATGGATAGAGAAGATGCGGTACTTATCCACAGTGGAATATCATTCAGCCCCCAAAAAGAATGGAAGCTTGCCACTTGCAGCCACATGGAGGGACTTAGAGGGTATTGTGCTAAGGGAAGGAAATCAGGCAGACAAAGACGGATACCCTACGAATTCACCGATATGTGGAACCTCAAAAGCAAAATAAACAAAACAGAAACAGACTCCTAGACACAGAGAACATGTTGATGGTGGCCCGATGGGAGGGGTGTTGGGAGAGAAGGGGTAGAAAAGGTGAAGGGAGTGAGAAGTACGCATTGCCAGTTGTTACACAGAGTCATGGGGATGTCACACAGGGAATACAGCCAATAACACTGTAACGACTAGACGGAAGGTGTCAGATGCGGACTAGAATTGCTGAGCTATCGCCTTGTGAGGTATATACATGTCTAACTACCCCGCTGAACACCTGAAATGAATGCACTAGTGTATGTCCACTGTAACTAGAAAATAAATTAGTTTAAAAAAAAAAAAAGACTTTAGGGCAGAGGATGGAGGGGACGCACCAGCATGTAAATTATCAATTACATGCCCTTGATAATTTAAAGGATCCAAGCATTCAAAGGCATTGCAGGAAGTCTTCGAGCCTTCCCACGGTGGGCAGGCCAGTCCCGGGCCAGCCGGAGCCCCGAGGACAGGCTGTTTTTGACCCAGAACAGCATGTCTCTCACACCCTGCTCTCCTCTCCAGAACCCAGATCTGAGTCACCGTGAACGGCGGGGGAGGGGTGAGCAGAGGAGGAAGCGAAAGAGAAGGATATGGAAAGCGATTTGGAAACACACACCTCCGACAGCACTTGATAAGCCGGAGTGCAGGTGACCGGCGCCCGACGGCACACAAAGGCCCAAGGCAGGCCGCGGGCCGGGCAGCTTCGGGCTCCATGTTTGCCTTCCACTGAGCAAACTAATAAATCCCCCAGGGTTTCGGCCACGCAGAGCTCCCCGGCTTTATTTACCGGTCAGAACTGCAGGCGGGTTTGCTTCCTCCCCTCCCCGCCACCCCGGGCAAATAGCAGGCCCCTCCCCGGGCCTGCCATCAGTCTGTGTGTCTATTTGCCTTCCCCCTTCAACAAACTCATGTTCAGCGCAACTGACAACGAGGGCAAACAGCTTTGAAGCATTCTTCGGTAATGGACTTCCCTGGGCTGCCCCGTGATTGGCCTGGGCAGCCGGAGGTGAAGGGGGAAAGAACTACTTGCCAGAGAAGAGGCAGACGCCATCTGGGCCAGGCGGGGCTCGGAACTTGACCCCCAGAAGGGACCCCAGAGGGCCCTCAAGACCAACCCTGTCTTCTCCTCCCCCTCCCATTTTATAGATGAGGAAACTGAGGCCCAGAGAAAAAGCTTGAGTGGCTTACATGTGACCTTGGAGCCAAGCGGAAGCAAAAGCAGGACAAGAGTGCAAGCTTCCAGCCCCCCGAGTTCAAGACTCTTCCAGATCTGGGCACAGATGTGCTCCCTCTGGGGATTGCTCTCCAAAGTAGAGGTAGGGGGAGCCAGCCCTGCTTTCTAGCAGCTTGGCAGGAGGGTCTTGTCCAAGGTCCATGATATTCCCAAGGTCACCTCCATGCCCTCTAAACCACATCCTCCTGAGCTGAGGGTCGTCCTTCACCATTGGAACCTCCTATCTTTCTACCAACACACCTGTTCGTGGGACCATGGGAAGAGGATAAAAGTCTCCCCCGGGGCAAGTTCAATGCCACGGAAATCTCGGAGGGAAGCTTGAACCAAACCGAGGGGAAACGGACCGGCACTCCTTTGAGGTTAAGCTAGGCTCAGAACGAATTAAAGCAAGACCAGTGTGTCCAGCATGTGGAGGAAACACGGTTCCACTGGACCTCCGGCAGCGGCTGCTAGCCTGTTCTCAGAGGGAACAGCAGTAAGCAATCTTTACGTCATTTGCTCTATCACATGTGGCAGCGCTGTGGATGTCAGAGCTAGGAGGCCTTCGGGCCCGACTCCTTCATTCGCCAGGGAAGGAAGCAAGAGAAGGGCTGTGTCCCAGCGCTGCAGACACGCACGGCCGTCTTTCAGCAAGACGAGGAGGCCTGATCCCCAGCAAGCAGCAACACCTTCGGGATGGCACGCATCCCGAAAGCCTGGCTTTGACAAACCTGCAAAGAACCTGTAATTTGCCTTCTTTGGATTGTTCTTACTTGTCGTGAACACCAACGACTGGGCTGGCACGACCTTCCTCTCCTCCACCCTCCACTGCCAGCACCACCGTCTGCCCCGCTCACCCAGACCGAGGCCGCGTCTGCAGCGGGAAGGAGGAGCCTGGGTGGTCCCAGGCCCCACGCTCCGAGCTGGAACTCAAAGGGTATCTAGGAGACTTTAGAGAAAAAGTACACACTTAGGCCCAATTTGCGTGCCCTTGATAGTTTAAAGGATCCCAGCGTTCAAAGGCATTGCAGGAAGTCTTCGAGCCAACTCCTTTGCTCTCCAGATACCACCATCCCAAAGATTTTAGCTCCTAGTCTCTGTCTAGCTAGGCTGCAGAATTTTCTCCTGGGCTCATTATTGTATGTTGTAAGTACACGTATCTCTTTCTCTCTCTCTCTCTCTCTCTCTCTCTCTCTCTCTCTCTCTCTCTCTCACACACACACACACACACACACACACACACACACACACAAACTGCCCACAGCCCTCTTCTGAAGAAAGTGGTCTCAGCTGGTTCCTTATACTCAGGTTTTCAATCGGTATCATCAACCCTAACCTTCGGAAAACAACTGACTTGGTGAAGACTGGTGGCAGGATCCAATGGCACGCATCTATAGGCTGCTAATGGCCAATGATATGACCAGACACAAGGGTCCTGAATGGTGATTGACCAAACCGGTCAAGACTATCAGTTGGCTACAGAAGGTGAAGCAGAAGCAGAAGCAGAGCCAGGATCATCGAGTCACCCAGCAGGGTGACCAGTTGTCCCAGTCTGCCCAGGACTATGACAGGATTAGCATTGGAATTCCTGCATCCTAGGAAAGCCCTTGGTCCTGAGCACCCTCAGCCCATCACCACAAGTTGAATTCTAGAATCTGGAGCAGTGGATCCCGCTCTGAGTAGAAGATCGAGGGGACTGTGGTCTGACAGTTTCTGCTATCTCTGGAAACAATCTCTAGCAATGGGAACCCTTTTGTTAAACCTCACCCAAGGATATTTTTCCCATTGATTTTTAGAGAGAGTTGGGAGAGAAGGGGAGAGACAGAGAGAGAAACATTTGATGTGAGAGAGACATACATCGATTGGTTGCTAACCACATGGACAACTCAGGTGCATGCCTTTGACTGGAAACCAACCCAAGGCCCTTCCGTCTGCACTGGTTTCTAACCACTGAGCCAACCAGCCGGGCGGCAATGCAAACTCTTGAATGACTTGGGCTTCTTGGGAAGGTCTAGCTGGGCAGCTGCTGGGGAGACTTCTCCTGCCTACTTGCAATAAACCAGCATTTATGGAGTTAAGGTAAGTGGGTCTCTGTCCCTTGACACCCAAAGGAACTGAACTGATACAACAAGCCTGGCTGCCTGTCATGGGAGGATGGCGAAAGCCCACGGACAAGCCTTGCAGGAAACCTACTCCAGAGATTCCCACCCTTTGTTCTGTGTCCAACCTGAGACGCTGAGAAGGACCCTTTGGCTCCACTGAGAGGACACTGAAGTCACTAAATGGTCACACAAACACATCACCTGCAACACAGGGAAGATACACAGGTCTCGCTTTAATCCTTTCTTTCTTACAAAGGCAAGCCATCCATTCACTGTGGACATTGCGAGTACAGACCTGCTTGGCCATGCATTGTGGCCAAGGCTGACATGAGTAGACATCTAGGACGTATTTCCGTCCATGCCTATGGCGGCTACAGAGCGAACGAAATGAACAGGACTTGTGTCGCATGAGGCCCAATCCACTGGCGGGTGTGTGGTCATCAGACGCTCCGGAGGAAGAGGGTCCGCCAAGAGGGTCCGCCATAAATTCCACCAGCGCCGGCAGCCGGATGGTCCATAAAGAAGCCCCAAGTTCTGGTGTGGACCCCAAGGGCCACCTGAGAGGAGAGGGTCTTGCCGCTGGCTCAACAGAAGGCAGCCGGACTAAACAACAGAGTCATTTTCTGCTCCTCCAGATGTCTACCCGTGTGTGATCCCGGCCGAGACGGTTGGGCATAGAGAATGCCAGCCTTCAGGACCCAGCTCCCCCGCCGGAGTCCCTGCCAGGGTCCCCGAGCACCCGAGGAACGTCCTGCACCGATCAGCATCCCTCTGGAACCCATGCGACCAGACCCGAGTAGACGAGAAGGAAGCCGCCTCCAAGCCGTGCGCGCAGCAGCACACCCGTGTCTTGAGAAGCAGGAACAAAAAACACAGATCCTGCTTGACCTGAGTGTAGTTAACAATTTATTCTGTATCCGCCAGAAGATGCGGGAGCAAACAGGAATCGCTGCGCAGCAGGCGTGGAGGTGGGGGGCAAAGAGGGGTGGGGTTCCTGGATGGGAGCAGGGGAGCCTTCGGAGCCCGTGGCTGCAGAGGAAGCGTTTTCCATAAGAAGAAGCAAGGTCTGGGACACCGGTGTCTTCTCCGTAGGTTGCCCCCAGCAACGATGCGTCCCCCATTGCATGCAGGTCATCACTCCCACTGTTTCTCAGGGCGGGGGTCTTTGCTTTCTCCTCGAATGTCTTCTCAAACCCAGAACCTTCTTTAGATGTTCTCCAAAGTAAGATTTCTCCATCCCACGCAGAGTTCTTGCCTTTTAAGGGATGGTTGCATGGGAGCCAGGACGTTCAGGGGGCGCCTGGTGGCACACGTTGGCTCCAGGAGGCATCCTGGTGGGTGGTGAGGGTGAGGAAGGGCCACCCTTTGCCCATCCTGCTTCCCAAGCCTGCGGAGCAAAACACAGCATTGGAGTGAGAACCTGCTGTCAGCGCCTCCAGCAGATGGCTTCCCACAGTGAGCGTCACTTCCCTGCTTCCCTCCCTGAGAGTCTAGCTGCTGAGGAGACGCTGCTTCTAAAAGTTGGGGGTGGGGTGGGATATTTATCCATTTCAAGCAACTCCCTGGACACTGAGTCACCACCGGGAGCCTTTCACACAAATCCCACCGCTACACCCATAGCTGATTTATTAAAAACAAAAAAACAACCACCACTGAACCCAGCCAGCCCAGAGGAAGTGGAAAAATCTGTTTTCGGCAGGCCACCGGAATATGTCTGTGAGATGTGGGGTGGGGAGTGTGGAGGTATTAGATCACCCACTTTACAAACAGGGAAACTGAGGCACAGAGGGTGCTAATGTTCTCAGTAGAGGATGGCAAGGGTCTGGTCCCTAATCCTAATGTTCCCTTCAGCCGGCATCTCTCTGCTCTAGCAAGTCCCTTAAAACAGTTAATTAGGAAACCACCAGAGTGGGTAGGGGTCCCTCTGAGGAAAGGGGAAGGCATCGTTTAACACGTTTCTCCTTCCCTAATGCCGATGGCAAACAGGCAGAGATGGCCCGCCAGCCTGGCTCCGTGGCTGAGCATCGACCTAAGAACCAGAAGAACACCGTTTCCTTCCGGGTCAGGGCACATGCCTGGGCTGTAGGCTGGATCCCCAGTAGAGAGTGTGCAGGAGGCAGCTGATCAATTATTCTCTCTCATCATTGATGTTTCTATCTCTCTCTCCCTCTCCCTTCCTCTCTGAAATCAATCAAATTATATATATATATAAAAAAAAAAAAAAAAAAAAAGAATTGTGGGGCTGTCTTACTGTCCCTGTTAGGATGGAACCCCCTGGAAGGAGTGAGAGTTTGCAGATGAGTCACCTACCCAAGGGCACTCCAGGTGGCTCTCTGATTGGGGGCCAGGGGCCATCGTATGTCTTCGCCCAGGGGTTGCCTGGGCCTTCCAGACACTCTTTCCTCTGGACCCGAAAGCATCCCCCACACCCCCACACTGTGCTCACGTTCCTCTGGTCCCCCCTCCCTCCCGGGCAGCGGCCCTCTCCGCTGGCTCCCACAGGGCCCAGGGCCCCGGGAGACGCACGCAGCTCGCCAATTAATTGGCAGCCGCCAGGTGAATCACACAGGGACTTCCTTCTTGTTGCCCGGCAACCGCATGCACTTGGCAGTGGGACATTAAACACAGAGGGGAATGTTGGGAGGGACTTGCAAAATAAAATGAAAAGCAAAACATACAACACCCCAGACTCATTGAGACATGGGGGGGGGGGGGTGCGCGCGTTGGGGAGCGGGGTGGAGACCAGGGAATCGGCCCAGCAGTCTAAGCAGAGCCCAACTCTCCCTCCCCCACCCCCTCCCCCATTCCTCTGGGTGCGTGGTTTATATGTGGCCGGAGACACGCCTCTGTGAGCCTGGAGAAAGGCAACGGGGGGCACACGGATTAACAGGCGCCGAGGGAGCTGAGAGATTACCTAGAAACACACCGCCCACAGGGTTTACGAGGCTGGCTGCGGGCACGGATCTGCTGTTTTCACGTCTCCACTGGGCACCCCTGCCCAGGCTAAGTCACTCTGCCACCTCTAGGGCAGGAACGCCTTCCCCCCAATCCTCCTCCCTCCCTCCGCCCCCCCTCCCGAATGTGTTTGTGTCTGTTGCTATGGCCACTGGGAGCTGTGCTCTTCAGACCTGCCTCTGGCCTCTCTGAAAACCCCGGGGACAGAGTGAAGTGTGTGCACGTTCTGTCTGGGGACGAGGGAAGGGAGGACAGTGACAAGGGGGCCACTGCAGTAGGCTGGATATTAGCCCCCCAAAGACAACCAGGCCTTGATCCCTGCGACCTTGAACGCTGCGTCTGACAGCGAAAGGGACTGTGCGGGTGGAAGCGAGGGCTCTGGAGCTGCAGGGATTATTACCCTGGATTATCCAGGGGGACCCACTCGTGATCACAAGTCTTCATAAGAAAGAGGGAGGCAGTCCTAGCTGGTTTGGCTCAGTGGATGGAGCGTGAACCTATGGACTGAAGGGTCCCCGGTTCGATTCTGGTCAAGGGTGCATACCTCGGTGCAGGCTCAATCCCCAGACCCAGACCAGGCCTTGCAACCACTATATATATTTATATGTCCCCCTTCCTTCCACTCCCTCTAAAAATCAATGAAAAAATATCTTCGGGTGAGGATTAACAAAAAATAAGTAAATAAAAATAAATTCCCTATTTAAAAACAAGAAAGAGGGAGGGAGGCAGAGGAAGACCTGACCGGGAGGCTAGAGGGACCCCAGGACAGGAATCACGAGGCAAGGCGACCAGGAGGCTCCAGAGCTGGAAAGGCAAAAAAGTGGATTCTTCCCCAGAGACACCAGAAGGAGCCAGCCCTGAGGGTGCCTTGGCTTTAGCCCAGTGGAACTGGCCCCCAGAACTACAGCAGCATAGATGTGAGCTGCTTTACACCCCTAAACTCATGGTAGCTTTACAGCAGCCACGGAACCCCACTGTTGTGCATCAGGGCACACGGGGTCTCTGTGCCCCACAGGTCTGTGGAAGGGGGTGTCACAGCAAGCACACGGGCAGGATTGGGCTGAGGCTGGCCAGAAGGGGCGAGGTCCAGAATTCGGCGTAGGAAGGTCCCACAGATGCCCTACCGCCTCAGAGGGCAAAGGGCGGGTCTCTGAGACCAACTTGAGGCAGGAAGCAGCCCAGGCTCTGAAGGGGCCTTGAAATTGTTATCATTCGCGACTGTAACTTGGCTCCATCTCTGAAAGCTTCTGTTTCGTCATCTGCAAAATGGAGATAATATCTGCCTAGCAGAGCTTTTCGGATTAAGGGAGATACCGTATGAAAAGTACATGGCACAAGGCAGATGCCAAATAAATTATAACTCTGAGGAGGATTCTGTCGGCAGTTCCTTACTCCAATTCTTGTTCTCCCTTTTCTACTTAGAATCAGAACTCTTGCCGAGACCGGTTTGGCTCAATGGATAGAGCGTCGGCTTGGGGACTGAAGGGTCCCGGGTTCGATTCCGGTCAAGGGCATGTACGTTGGTTGCGGGCACATCCCCGGTAGGGGGTGTGCAAGAGGCAGCTGGTCGATGTTTCTCTCTCATCGACGTTTCTAGCTATCTCTTTCCCTTCCTCTCTGTAAAAAAATCAATAAAATATATTTTTTTAAAAATAAAAATAAAAATAAATTTTAAAAAAAGAAACAGAACTCGATTTCTGGTGGACATACTGAGGCCCAGAGTCAAAAGACTTCGTTTCCCAGCCTCCCTTGCAGCTAGCTATGGCCATGTGACTAAGATCTGGTCAAAGAGACTTAAGCAAGGGTTGTGGGACCTCTGGGGAGGCCGTTCAAAAGGTGTTGGCAAGAGCCCGATTGTTACCTCTCTGCCTTTCCTTCCTTCTGCCTTCTGTGAGGACATGATGGCTGGTGCTCCAGCAGCTGTCCTGGTCTACTAGAGACGCTGAAAATGGGAGTCCTGTGGGAAGGTAATTTAATAGGAAGAGGGAAGCCTGGGTCCCTGAAGACTGAACTGCTACACTCGCCCTGGATGGCCTTTTTCTGGATATCTGCTGTGTGAGCAAGAATGCTCTGTGACTTAACAGTGAAGTCACTATGATTGTAGAGTTTTCTAGAAACCACAATGGATTCATTCTACCACAGCTCTAGAAAAAGGAACCCGTCCAGAGGAGAGCTTCTCAAAGTGCAGTCCGCCTTCAGCAGCACCTGGGAACTCTAGATATGCAACTTCTCAGGCCCCACCCCAACTCACTGCATCACACAGGCCAAGAGCCGCTGAGCATGGCAGAGGCCGGCAGGCCCGGAGGGGACACTGCCCCCAGTGGGGGAAGCGGGAACATATCTGAACTTGACCCTGGGGAGGACACACGCTGCTCCCAAGCAGAAACTGTAACCAGCAGGACGGGGGCAGGCTTGGGAACGGACAGGTAGCTGCCAGGCAGGGTGACTGGATGGAGCAGGATTCCTGGTGGCTGTGTCACCTCACTTCCCATCAGAACAGGGTGGACACCTTCCCTGCCTCCAGGAATAGCCACACAGAGCCTCTGTTTCCTCCCCTCATAAACCCAGGGCCCTGGGAGCCAGCTCCCACGAGGCGCTGCACACATGAGCTCACACCAGCCGGGGCGCTGCCTTCAGGAAGGCGGGACATGGCGACGGCCTGTTGAGAAACGGGAGCACCAGTCCGTAACCTCCTCAGGCGCTGAAACCAGAATCCTCCCACAGGGCTGCGCTCCGAGCAAGGACAGGCTTCCCGTTCTTTCCACGGAGCCTGGAAATCAGCTCTGTGAGGCGTGCGTAGCTGGGTCGGAGCATAAAGGGAGGAAAGGATGATCGGAGAACCGGGGAACAAGGAGAGAAGGAGAGCGGAGTGGGATGATGCTCTGGCTCCTGGAAAAGGCAGGTGAAGTCACCTGTGAATTCTCTATCCTGCTGGGACCAGCTCTTGCCTTTGCCGTTTCATTCGCAGCCTTCCCCTGATGAAATGCTGAACCAAGCTTTCCCTGGTCCCCTTTGGCCCAAACCATTAAGTCAAGGCTGTCGCTGGGGGAAGCAGGAGGAAGGTGGGAGGAAAAGAGGAGAAGAGGAGGAAGAGGAAGAAAAAAGGAGGAAGGGGAGGAGGTGAGGAAGAAAGAGGAGAGAGAGAAGACATGGAGGGCAGGAGGAGAGGAAGGCAGAGGGACTGGAGAACAGATGAGAGAAAAGCCTGCAGGGTAAACCAAGCACCAGGATAGACTGGCCTCTCCTCTCCTCCCTCTCTCAGCTCCAACTGGGAAGTCGGGGAACAGGTATGAGTTTGTAGTCCACATGGAAAAAGCCAGGTCCCAGGGACCCCTGGGAGGCTAAGGCCCCGTGGGATGGCACCTCTGGCATCTTCCACCGAAGGCAGCGGGTTGGAGCAGGCAGGAGAACCCCACTGCTCTGTGCCAGCGG